TTTGTATGTGTTTTTATTGGAGAATTTTGGGTGTTTTTAGCATGGAAAGCTAGGATCCCTGCTGATCACAGTTGGTAAGTTAACTTTTTTTTATATCTTCTACCATATGTAATTCTTAGACAACTGCCAGTTTCCTGAGAATGTGTTTATCTTGACTGTAACAAAATCATTTGAGCAAACATAGGTGGGACAGTACATATAATTATATTACATGTAAATGCCTAAGTGGTGATCATTTAGAGATAATAATGGATTTGGTTATAAAAGACATGCAACTGAAGCAAACAGCAGAGCAGCACTGAAGAGTATGCAGTTGCAACTCTTAATTTAAGATGTTAAGAAACTGATTCGTTTACCTGACATCCAGAAAAGATTTTTGATGGCTGGAAAGTGGAAATATCAAGGTTTCTAAAGTATAAAACAACTCCTGACTGAAAATGGCTGTGACCAAAAACTTGGAGAGAGATGCATGCATACCAGTAGGTCTACTTGCAGTATAGAAGCACACACGGCCAATTTAAACTGAAATGAAAAGCTTACACATCAGGTCCAATCCTCCATTGGTTTACTACAGAAACAACTGGGACAATAGTGAAATAATAATGCTAAAGAGTGTTTTAATAGTGCTCAAGTGGAAGATTTTAAACCAGGTAATCCAAAGGATGGTAAAACTCCTGGTGCTTTTGAGGTTTATCAGTCGAAAAAAGGCAGAGAAAGACTATCCAACAGCCTTACCAAAAAGGTTTGTTAGAATCTGTACTAACAGCTGCTATGCTCTGTAATGTATAAAGCTAGACAGTGAATCATACTCAATACACAGGTTATTTTCATACATATATTAAATAAATAATTTAGTATAGCTTTACTGGATTTTGATTTTAGCATTTGAGAATCAGATATTTAAACATATCCTCTTTAGGGAGACTCCTCCATACAATACTGCTGTTTTAATTATAATTGCTCTGTCAAACTAGTCTACCTTATGAAAACCTTATTACACATTTCATCATATGCCATAGCAATGCTGACATTTTAGGATTATCATTTTGGGTTTCACCAAAAGCCACTGCAGTCAATGGGTAGATTTTCATTGATTTTTGGATAAGGCTGTGATTAAGTACTTGTCTATTAGTTTCAGAAAGTCTCATTCCACTATGTAACTCAAGTGAGCTTGATTTCTTGCATTTCATTTCCACAAAGCAATACTCAGTATACTCTTGGTTGATCTCCAGTTCGGAAATACAACTATCTTCTATGCTATGCAATTAAAAACACCATATTTGCAGATGCATACCAAGAGGAAATTAAACAAAATTGATGATTTTTATTCTACTAAGAAAAGGAGTTCTGCAATAAGATAACTCCAATTTTATCGCTTAATTGCACCTAGATATGCAAACCAGATTTATGGATAGTAGCCTGCATACAGTATAATAAGTTAAAGTTAATTATGAAATACTACTGTAATTGTCACAAGATGCAATATCTATTCACTCTTATGAATCAAAAGTGTATGGTAAAATTAATTGTAATTACATTTTTATTGGATATAATCCCTACCAAATCACTGAAACAGCTAGTTATGCAAATGTAATACTTTTTAATCCAGGGCAATATCAGCATAAAATATTTTATTTGAGCAGACTGCAAGCTAGAAAGTAAGACACATTATGTAGCTTCCTTATTTACCACTACTAAAGTTAGCTATAAACACAGTATTTAAAGCTGTAATTTTTTAATAACTGAAACAGAAAAGCATAAATAATTTAACTGTATATACATAATGTAACTGTCCATTGAAAAATAGTTAGCACCTGGCTATTATTTATATCATATCATATGAAAATATTACTTAATCCATTTGCCACTATAATCACCTGAGACTCAAGCATTTAGAAGTTTATTCAAGAGTCACATGCAAAAAAAAGAACAATAAAATAAATAAATAATTTCAATGACATTGTATTAATCTAAGTTTTCCAGTTTCTATTTGGAGAATGTTTGAGAGCAGATGGAGAATGTCTCTCCTTTATTTACTTTTCAAAATTTTTCATGACTATACAAAGTTACCCTGCTTCTGAATGGCTCACATAACATTTATTACAAATATTTGATATTTGAATTTTGAAGGTCATCTTGTTTTGACTAGTTACATGCTTTTTGTTTCTTCCTTATGTGGCTCACCAACACAAGGCAAATTTCAAATATTTATAATTCAATCTGCCATATGAAATATTTCTTCATAAAAATGTAAATTCTCTTTTAAATAGATTCATTTTTTTTCCAAATACATGCTCAAAGTGAAAACAGATAAAGGCTTATAAACACAGCTCAATCAAAACTTGTTTACAAATGTGAATGTATATCTACAATACATTTCCCAAAGTGTTCACTCATCCCTAAAAAATATGGGAGATGTAAGAGGCAAAGAATATCATGCCAGGTGATGCATTAGTTAGTATTTCAGAAAGTACATCATTGCATTGAAAACCTTAATTTCAAGACGTAATTTCTTGTATAAACACATGCAGTCACAAATGCCCACTGGTTCTATAGGCATGGGTTTTTTTTTGCCCATATGTGTGTAAAAAATACAGATACATGTAGGCATACACACATTAACACAGAATGAACACACATGTACATAAACCAATAGTTTGTATAAACCAATAGTTTATACAATTTGATTTGGTTGGGCTGATAAGAACTGTCTTGTCCAACTGCCATACACCAATGTAAAGTTAGCCACTGGGAATATAGCAAGCATGATCTCATCATTGCTTGTTACATTTAGTGGTGTTTTGATGAATAGTAGGTGGGGTCCTGATACTAAGATTACACTTCATGTGGCATTGGGCCAGGATTTTTTCCAATACACTGTGGTGGATGCATCTAAGATTTAATTTTATACTGGGTCCATCTTTATTCAACTGTTATCACCAACATCTGCTCACCACAAAAATAATACTTTATTCCTCTTTCAAGAATTTATATTTTTGGAAGCAAACTGTTTGGTGCATTATTCAAAGCATCAATGCAACTGATAGATATTTGTACTTTAATGCCAGCTGGGACAATATAGATTTTCTATTTACTTGAATACACTCTGCAATCTAGGAAACTTCCTCCACTAGGATGGTGGTTTCTTTATAGATATTACTTAGTCTAACAGTGACTCTTTAATCTGACTGTCAAGTGCTACATTCCATTGCAGGGCAGGCAACATTTTTGGCTGGAGTGCCAAAAAAACTTCAATGTCTACCTTGTAAAGTGCCAGAGTGCTGGCATACCAGAAAAACAAAACCGGTCAGGGGGGTACATGGCAGGACACACTGTATATTAATACAGTTAATAATCATCATTTTTTAACAGTAAATACTAGGTTTTCTACAAATTTTAAACCTGGTGTCAATAAAAAAAACTTCATATATTACCTTTGTCCTTGTGTAGTCTTTTTTTGAGCAACACATAAAGCAACACATTGTGCAGCATGTTGTGATGAGACAGAGAAAAAGAGAGAGAGAGAAAGAGGGACAAAAAAAGAGAAAGAAGAGAAAGAAAAGAGAAAAAAGGTGGAGACAGAAAAGGAGAGAAGAGAGAAAAAAGAACAATGGAGAGAAGAGAGAGGGAAAAAGAAAGAGAGAGAATGAGGTAAAGAAAGAAAAAGGGAAAAAGGTGAGAAAAAGAAAAGAAATAAGGGGAAAGAGAAAAAAGAAGAGAAGAAAAAGAAAAAAGAAAGAAAAAAGGAGAGGAAAAAGAGAAGAAAAAGAGAAGAAAAGAAAAAAGGGAGAAAGAGATAAAAAGAGAGAGAGAAAGAGAAGAGAGAAAAAAGGGAAAAAGAGAAAGAGGGTGTGTCCCTTGCCACCTACATCTCCCATAGTTACCGGCCGTAACTCAGGCCCACTGCTCCAAGGCAGCATCTGGTGGATGGAGGCAGCAGTACCCCAGCAGCATCCACCAGGGCCGGGGTGCTCAGGCCTCCCCTATGGTCCCAAAGCAGACGGAGCCTGGGCCTAGCCAGGGCTCATGCAGACAGACGCCCCATCCCACCCAAGTGGGGGCAGCAATGGGGTGCTGAGTGCCAGGGTCGGAGGCTTGGGGTAAGGTCCAGGTGGGGGGTGGACAGCTTAGCCGAGCCATTGAGAAGGCAGCAGCTGGAGGAGAGTGGGTGCTGGGTGGGAAGTGGGGGCTGCCCTGAGGCTCTGCAAACTTGGGCTATGGTGGGTCGGTGGTGGAGCCCAGTGACACCAGACACGGGGCCCACCTCAGCCCACAGAGCTCCATGGGGATGGCCTGCAGCTGCCCTGCCCGCAAGGGGACATTGCCTGGCTGGGTCGGGAGACTGGGCTCAGGGGGCTCCCAGCTCCAGGTCTGGCCTCCCTGTGTGCCAGGCACAGCATGAGTGGGGCAAAGTTGCCCCCAGTGCAAGGACCCAGCCATAGTCCTGACCACAGAGCCCCCAGGGCCCCAGGAACAGCCACCACAGGCAGTGCTCAGGCCTGAGCTGACTGGGAGCCTCCGGCACATCAACCCTCCGCAGCACCTGCCTGGGCCCTGGCCTTACCCACCCGCAGCTCCCCTCCAGGGCCAGGCTAGGCTGGAGGGCACAGCCCAGGGACAGGGGGCAGGGTCAGCAGAATGCAGATAGCGTCCCTGCCTGTGTTCTCCTGACTCAACCCCCAGTGCCTGCTGCAGTGCTGGGACCTGTGGCTGCTCCAGAGAGCCCAGAGCAGCAACTTAACATTTTTTTTTAAAAAACAATTTCTTTGCACGCCACCTGGTGTGCCGAGGAAAATGTATCTGCGTGCCACTAATTGGCACGTGTGCCAGGGGCTGTCTATTCCTGTTCTATTGGATTACTGGCCAGGTATGGTATTGCAAACTTTCCAAGATAAAGAAAGCTTGAATGTGCAACAAACAATTCTTAAGCCTTGTCCACTCATGCTCTAATGAATTTCCAAAAGTCTGTGGATTTGTGTAGGTCCATAAATTGCACTTACCTGTTATATGAGTCCTATCACCAGATCCTTGACAGCCATCCTCATCATCACAGTCCCCACTTGATTCCACCTCCTCACTTTTTCCATCCCCACTGCCAGCTTCTCTGGAAGCCCATCTCTCTGACTTCAATTTTGTCTTCTCAGTATCCAGCTAAAGTAAAAGAAACAAGTCATTGGTAAGTTATACCTTTATCCAAATCATTGTGCTAGTGACAAAACTTTGTTCCTCTATGGTACCAAGCATCTAATTTGTGGACCTGATCATGCTGTCATGATTATTTAATTCTACCAGTCAAGCTAGTACCATGATTTGGGTTATTTCATAGAATCATAGCAAAAAGTAAGGTGGGAAGGTACCTCAGGAAGTTATCTTGTCCAAACCTCTGCTCTAGGCAAGATCATCCCTGTTTAAACCATCCTAAGACAAATGTTTGTCTAACTTGTTCGCAAAACCCTTGGGAATGACACACACAACTAGCAGGCATAATGCTTGTAACATTAAAAACACCATTTAACTTGCCACAGGTAAAGCAGGAGCCTGAGGACACTACAGGTGCCTTGCCACTGCAAGGGCAGGAAGTAGGGTGTTAGAACACACTCAAGTGTATTTAGCTATATTAATGCTTCCTTGAGGTTTATTAGAGAGGACTTGAAGGTGTGTATAGCCTTGCATGACATAATCAGTAGTTTGCATGATTGGGTTCTTTTAGGGTTCTGGCCACTTTACAAGATCCTCCCCAAAGCCTGCAACTGCAAGTTGTTGACTGAGCCTCATCTCAAATCCAGGATACATTTGTTTCAAACACATTTCTTGGAATCAATACAGAACAAACACAAGCTGTTTTTGGAGTCAATCTGAATTCATTGCATTAAGTCACGCTACATGTAGTACTGGGTCTACTTACAAAACAAATCTTTTTGATCTTTACAGACCATCACAACCTTTCCTAAGGGCTGCAGTTGCCTCTTGCTGCAGCTGTGGGAAGAATTTATTTTTGCCTCAACATCAGCCATTCCAAAGATTTTTTTAAATATCAGGTAGTTTAAAATGGTTTTTCATAATAAAAATATTTCAGGGAAAAGGAAATTCTGAGTTTCAGGCACTGTCTGGTGCTGCAGGTGGCTGGTCTTCGTGCTGGAGGGGGGAGTAGGTGGAAGGCAGCCGGGAGCTGGAGCCTCGTGTGCTGGGGCAGGAGCCGCCTGACTGGGTATCTGATGTGTGGCACACAGCCCCACAGCTTCCCCACACTACCTGTTGCCCAGAGTGGTGCAGCAGGGACAGGAGGAGGAGCTGCTGCAGGTGGGGGGAGCTGACCAGTACCTGGGTGACTGCAGCTGCACTGGGAACAGCCCTGCCAGGAAACTATGCATGTTGCCAGGGCCAGGACAGGTGGGAGTGCAGTGCGGGCTGGCCCAGGTAGGAGCGAACGCAGTTTGGCTCCATGAGGACCACTGAGTGGATAGCCATGGCCAGATGGCAGGGGTGGGCCACATCTGCACCACACTGCCTGGGCAAACTCTGCTGCATGTGCCTCATGTCTCCCCACTTCTTCTCCCCACCTCTGGCCAGCTCCCAGGACCTGGTGTGCAGGCAGCCTCCTGCACATATGCATACCCACACCCTCCCACACACCCTACACCCTGCCACACCCCCTTACCTGCCCCCCCCCCCCCCCCCCCCCCCCCCAAATCAGGACTTTTTAAAAATAAAATACGTTATAGTAGATGTTTGATTTTTAGTATATGACTATATGCAATCTATAATTTGTTAAAATGATATCTTGTGAAAGATTTTGTGTGTGTGGCCCTCAACAGCTCATCAAAACTCATTAAGTGGCCCTCCAGATGAAATTAATGCCCCTGGACTGCAGATTGGGTATCTCTTCTCAGGTGATGCCCTAACTGCCAGGCTCTGGTCATTCTCTCTCTTTTTGAGACTCATCATTGTTTAAGTGTATTATACAAAGTAGAGAAGTTGGAATGCGAGAGATCCACCTCCGGATACCTGATTCCCAAGGATAGAACTCTCCTCAGAGGGAGGGGACTGAAGCTTCAGATCTAGGATCAGTGAAAATGGAAATTTGAACCCAGGCCTCCTATATCCTGGGTGAGTGTTCTCAACATGAGGACATATAGGTGTACACCACCAGCATCTCTGCCACCTTGCTGTTGTCCTTGTTGCCCATTTTGTGAAGGGCACTTAAATCCGGGGTCAGTCTAGCCAGAATAATTTAAAGTATTTTGGTGAACTGCTGGAAGGAATGGTTTCTGCATTTCTGAATTTTGGTTCTAATTTCTAATTTTGTTTCAGCCAAAACTCAAAATTCAGCTCCCAATTAACCTGCGGCTGTAACAATTTTGGACATGCAAAGCCACATTTTTGGCAAGTAAGTTTTGCTGAAAAAACACATCCAGATTTGTTATGCTTTGTACTGTAGGAAACGTAGATGCACCATAACTGACAGCTCTGCACCACGAATAATACTGGTTGTCTCTTCTCCCTCTATGGCTGTCAAAAACTGAGTAGTGTAGGATTTGTTGTGGGTAGTGAGAGGGAAAGATAGGTATTGTTGTTGTAAACATTATTCTGGTTATGATGGAAAAGCCTTAGCTGAATAGGAAGATTTTGCAGTTTTCCTTAAAGTCTGTCAGACTCTGTATTTCTCTAATCCCATCAGGTAGGATTGTTTTACCCCTAATTCTCACAGATTTTGTTTTGGCATCTGCTGTTTGTCCCAGAATGTAGTTGTCTTGGTACTACATAGATGGAGATGTGGTTGCCTGTGTAACTGGGACCTTTGAAGGCTAGGATGAGAACTTAAATTGTCAGTGGAAATGGACCAGGAAGCAGGGTAAGAATGAGAACCATCTATTTGCGTGCGTGGAGTCCTACACAGTGGAGAAGGCAGGCAGGGAGTAGCATTTTGGTCCAGCAGTAAACTATGTTTTTTCCCAACTTCTCCAGGTGCAGCATGTGAGCACAACCTAAGCTGGAGATGATAAATGGGTGTACATATGCAGCCAAAAATTCCATACCAGAAAACACTAGAAGCTACCTTCTACTGGAGAGAGCTGAATTAATTTCTTTGTACTTGTTGGTCTGCTTATTACGAACATACCCATGATATCCTCTCACTGCAGGAAGATTAGCTTGTGGGTGGAGGATATGGGCATTAGCTGAAAAGGGTATTAAACACTGTCCAGTTGTTGTAGGGGATTGTTATAAACAAGCTGCTTGAAGTTGGGCATCATCATTCACAGGCTTAAAGCCTGATCTCATGGGATAGAAGAAAGCAATATTCTTTTTAACAAATGAGGAAAAAATCTGTGTGGGCAGGGGGAGGCTTATTCAGTTTCTTGATAGATTTATTGTGTCCTTACCATATAAGAGAAGACTCATTTATTGTTTGTGATAATCCTTTAGAATGAACAGAAATGGCTAAGTGGTGAATGGAACAGATGCAAAATTTAATAAAGGCTTTTAATGATTGTTTGCCAATCACAGCTGAAATGTTTACTGCCTGGGAAGGTATTAATTCCCTTTATAATCGGATTTCACTCGGCACTCTTGGTTCGATCCTGACCTTTATTTGCATAAGTGAATAACTGAGCAAAAAGGTGAAGGACAGAGAAACAAACTGTGTATCCACCTTTGGTGCATGGCAACATCTCTCAGGCATTCTGATGCTGTTGAGTCCCCTCTTCAGGAAAATGCAAACTATCACATCAAACCCTTGTAACACAGCACTGTGTGGCTCAAGGCCTACCACGAGGTACCAGTTTACTCCTTTCCACATGCACTCTTCGGTAATGGCACAAAGACTTACCTTGCACCCCCTTCTGTGGGACTGGTTTACTAACCAAACATTGCAACTGAGTGCCAACCCAGATACAGTCCTCTTCTGATACCTCTACTTTTACTTCCCAAATTCTGCTTTCTCCTAGAGTTTTTTCCAGCCATGTCTTCCACAGCAGGAGGTACCTCCCAGCTAGTGGGAAGTAACACTCTGCCAAATCTCCTGAATCACAGTCCCCTTCTCTGCCTGAAAAACCTCTTTTTTATCAGCAGCTAATACTCTGACCACTGTCAGACTTGTTGCCTTGACTTAGCTTCCGTGCAAGATCCATGAAACATTAGCAACAGGACACATGCATATGCCCAAGGACTAGCAACACATACATCATTCATGCCTTCATGTTTCATTCACTGCATGTTGTTGTGGGACTTTTTATGTATTACCTAACAAAGCCCCAGGTCATCTCTGAGACAGCCATGTGTAGTCTCACCTCTGCAGCACAGAACGCATCTCAGCAGCTTCTGCAGTGCTAGCCTTTCCTTCCCCTTTCCCTGAAAAGACTTCTCCAGGGATATGAGAATTTGCAGCAAGAAAAGGAAGAAGGCTGAGATTGGATTGGAATCAGGAAGGACTTGGCAGATGGCGGTTGGTATAGAACAACACTGGATATTCTGTTCCTTATGGTTCTGTATACCATCCTTAAATAAAAAAAATACAACGTGGGGCCATATTATTTATTCTGTATAGCTTCCTCAAATGTCCTGGAGGCAGACATGACCAACAGGAATCCTTAGTATTTTAACCTAATGGAGCTATGGAGTCAAGGAAGTTGTAGGGGACTCTACTGTAAGGCAGAACTAAAAAGAACATAAAAATCCACTGCAAATATGGCCCTGACATGATAGGGATTCCAAGAGTCCCTCCAAGTTTGGAAACACTTACTCCCATAATCTTTTGCACAAGCTGGAGTGTGGATAAATTCTATTTGTACAGTTCAAATGGAATAGTACATAATCTCTTCAAATTGATCCTGTGCTACAGTCCATATACCATCTTTCAAATCAAAGATCAACATAGCAATTATTTCACACCTTATAAGAAAAATCTTGAACAGGTATAACTTTGCTGACTAGATTCTATATCTATTGATACACATAAAGATCCATGCACTCATGACTGAAATGCAGACACCTCTGGAAACTATGCACTGTAGTTCACAATTGGAAGTAAAGAATACAGTTTTTTGAAATTCAGAACTAGAGTTTTTGTAGAAGAAACTTCTTTTGATTTTGTCCAGGCCACTCTAGCTAATAACTCTACCTTAGTAAAAGAAAAAAAAAGACAGTGGGAGTTC